TAGTAAAGTTTTGATGGATGAAGACTGCAATCAAGGTAAAGACGATTGCGGTGGCGTACAGGAGTCGTACAGTACAGCAAGCACACATGAGTCCGTTATAATAATGCGTGTATGAGTGCTCTGACGCACAGATCACACATTGTATTTATGCACAGGCACAGCCATTTCCATACATTCACGATAATGTTTTGATTTCTCATGTTTATGTTGCTGTGTTTAGTTATACTGAATGGATCTGTGTACTGTAGTAGGTATATGCAGTCAGCAGGCGGTTGGTTTAGGGATTTTCTGGCATCTCCATGTGTTCTGTTCGGTATCGCAACTTGGCTTCTCTAAAATGTAAACAAGCTCTTTGCTGTTGCACTGACTGTACACATACTATAAAATTCAGATTTTTTTTTCTTTCATATGTGCTTATATGGGCTCCTTATATCATTTGGTTCTTTGGTGTCCTTTTGGAGTTTCTAAGTGTCCTTTTTTGGATCTAAATTTATCTTGAAAAAAGCTTGCAGAAAATATAGATTTTTGAGAATCACCCTTCAGTCTTTTGGTTTATTTTGCTGGATATAGCAAATGATGACTGGATCTGTGTACTGTAGTAGGTATATGCAGTCAGTAGGCGATTGGTTTAGGGATTTTCTGGCATCTCCATGTGTCCTGTTCGGTATCGCAACTTGGCTTCTCTAAAATGTAAAAAAGCTCTTTGCTGTTGCACTGACTGTACACATACTATAAAATTCAGATTTTTTTTTCTTTCATATGTGCTTATATGGGCTCCTTATATCATTTGGTTCTTTGGTGTCCTTTTGGAGTTTCTAAGTGTCCTTTTTTGGATCTAAATTTATCTTGAAAAAAGCTTGCAGAAAATATAGATTTTTGAGAATCACCCTTCAGTCTTTTGGTTTATTTTGCTGGATATAGCAAATGATGACAAAATAAACATTTGAAACAAGATAAATGGTCTATGCTTAATTTCACGAAGTGTGCGATTAATCGCGATTAATCACAGAAAAAGGATGTGATTAATCGGATTAAAAATTGGAATCGATTGACAGCCCTAAAAACAATATATATTTACCTGCCTGTCAATGTGACCATTAACCGACATCAGCGAATTAAATTATTGGAAATATAAATTTCTTCAGAGACATTTCAAGTAAATATTTTATTTTAAGGCGTTTGGCTGACTAAAAACATTCGGCAATCCGTGTGTTGTATGAAATATCATTAATAAACATGAAAACAACAATGACATTTAAAAATTTAAGAGAAAAAATTATAATGGAGAATTAATAAATTAGGAATAATTCACTGCCATTGTTTGACTCATATGTAATCCATAAAAAACGAACTGTAATCTGATTATGAGCAGTTTAAAATGTAATATACCCTAATTACAAGTACTTCTTTTTTGGACTTTGGAGTTGCTAGCACTGCTGTGTTTGTAATGATAGTCTACTAAACTAAAAGTGAGTTTATTGCTATTGGTTAAATTATATGTGCGATCTGCAGCTGTTGTGGTTGTTTATTTTCATGTCTATGACAATGAGTGTGAATTAATTTCCCATTTTATCAAGGAAACTTGCACTTGGCATTATTCAATCTGCAGCTTTTTAAAAATATACAAATCCTGTTGTTTAACTTTTCTCATCACTTTTGTTAGGATCTGTGAAACTCAGAGTGTCAGAATCGACCCGAGCTGGTTTTGTAAGTGCTGATTAAGACTGTACTTTCAGAGATCGTTTCTATAGTTCTTAACTAGAAAATATGTTTTGAAGGTGTTGTGTTTTCCATTCCTAAATTATGAGTGTTGATACTCTTTACTGAATGTGAATTGAGTGCAGAGTAATGATTCTCTTCATTCATTTTACACCGTTGATGACCGTTCTTAATTGCTTGTTGACAGTATGGAAGAAAAGCGTGTGATCAGAGTGGTTCATAAAACATTTTCGTAATGAGGCTTCTTTACATTTTTTTTTTGTTATCCTTTATAATGCGTTTAGAATAGATGTAATACTATGATAATGTCACACCTACTTTATTTAATGAAAGAATGCCATTAGGAGTGAGTACTATAGTGCACTAGGCTTACATTCAAATAAAATTATGGGAATATTTAGAAATGTGAAAATATTTGAGCATTATAGACCTTGATTTCTTCACTGACTGACTGACTGAATGAATCAATCAATCAATCAATCAATCAATCAATCAATCAATCAGACACAGAAATGGACTCAGAAGTTGACCAAACATTGCTAGCTAGTTGAATCCTATTTAATGCTGAAATAAATAAAAAAAACTCCAATAAGTAATATCAATACCGTAATACTGACATGATGTACTGTTTTATTTAGCCAGTACTGTTGTTGGCATATCTTAAACCCTGTAAGGCCTGACATAGTAGGCTTTTTTATTATTATTTTTTTTTTAATGGAAGTGTATTGGGCTTTTAGACAAAATATAAAAAATGAAAACATACATCAGGCTTTTTTTTATGGCCCATGTAGAATGATAGAGTGAGAATATGGAGAACATACTCAAGGAGGAAACAAAAGTATGCGGTTTGGTTGAAATGGTATTTATATGGTCAGAAAGTTAAGATAAATTTATGATAAATTGTAATGTAAATCAGTGAGATTTTTATAACTGTACAACAGGCAACTTACATAAAATGCTCTTTCATAAATATCAGTTGTTGCAGTATATCTCAGAATATACACTATTTCTATATTTACTGTATATAAATAATAAATATTTCACATCAGAGAGCATGTACCATAACCTGATTGACGATGGTGATTTACAGACATTTAAAATCTATATACACAAATAATAAAACTTTAAATATATCAAAAGTGAAATTATAAAACTACACATTCATTAAAATTATTATCTTAAAACAAGAATTATTTGACCACTCTGATCATACCCTTTTCTTCCTTATTGTTGTAAAACGATGAGGAACTTTCATCAATGATGAAGAGCATATGAATTCATTCATTACTCCTCCCCCAATTCTTGCTCAAAAAACAGCATCAAGACTCTTCATCTTGGTTTGAGAGACACAACACTTTCGAAACTTTCTTCATTCAAACATTCTACTACCATTCTCCTATACTGTGTAGAATCTCTCTCTCTCTGTAGTGGACATTATATTTGAGTGAATTTCTCTGAGACCTCACATGTCACAGTTGTAAGTCTGGATGTCCTGTACAGAGCACATTCAGGGCTTTCCAGAGATACCAAATGATTGGATGTTTCACCATGGCCACTCCCTCGTCTTGGTTTTTAAAAATGTGTGATTCATTTAGTGATACAATTGTACATCCTTCTTGAAATATGATAATATTTTGTAATTATAATTTAAATCTGATTAATTTTCAAATTGTTTGTCATAAATCAACATCTCAGGAAAATGTTATGGGGTTTCAAATCAAAATATGACTTCCTGTTATGAAACATGACATAATTTCATAAATGTCCACTGTAGAGGACACCAGGACTAAAAGCATGTTTATTATACATTTTGGGAGACAAAAGAATTGAATAGGAAAACAAATTATATATCAATATTCTTATGAAATATTAGATATTATTATGAAAATCTGGCCAATGACT